GAACCGCAACCGCCGCGCATCGTATTTGACTATCGCGCGCTAAATAAAATTATCCCAGATTATAATTTGCCAGTCCCTCTACCTGTCTACTTATTTAAACGAATGGCCGGTGCGTAACTATTTTCATCATTTGATATGTATTCATCATATCATCAGATAAGTATTAAAAAGGAACACAGGCATAAAACGGCATTATAATGCGAGTCAGGCCTGTATCAGTTTTGTCGCTCCCCCTTTGGATTTAAAACTAGCGCACCAGTTTTTCTGTCACTAATAAATGTACTAGTATCAGATTTAAAAAATGTAGTAGCATTTTTCGATGATATTTGCGTATATTCTAAAACATTCGACAAACACTGCGAGAGCATCATCGAGTTAATGAAACGCCTTCGTGAAACTAATCTGGTCCTTCATCCGAAGAAATACAAAATTCTACGCCCGGAAATCGAATACCTCGGTCATGTAATCTCGAAAGACGGACTACGCCCGTGCAACGATAAACTGCGCGCAGTAAAAGAATTCCCAGTCCCGCGCACGCCAATGAACGTTAAACAATGGCTCGGCCTAGCAGGATACTATAGACGATTTATAGAAAATTTTGCTAAGATCGCAAAACCAGTTACTATTCTATTAAAGAAACGCCAACCGTTCGTTTGGGCGGAAGAGCAGAAAAAGCTTTCGAGACACTACGCGATAAATTATGTGAACCTCCGGTGCTCAAACACCCGGATTTCAACAGAACATTAGAAATTATATATACCAGGCACTGAAGCAATTAGTAATAAATATAACTGAAAATAAAATTAAAAACGTCAGTATAGCCCAAAGTAAAAAAGTTGAGCTCGTCGATTTCTTCGAAATTTTACGAATGATAAAAAATACACTGGGCCCTTCTGGAGTCAAGATTATAGTTTGTCAGGGACTTATAGTGTTCGCCCCCATCGAGCATCGTCAACAAGTAATCAAAGAGGCCCACTGTTCAGCTATAGGCGGTCATAACGGTTGCAATAGAACTTACAAACGTATCAAGAATAAATACTATTGGGTACACCTGAAGGAAGATGTGCAAGAGTTCATTCAAAAGTGCTTACCATGCCAATTGAGAAAATTAAATAGGCATAATGTCAAACAAAAAATGATCATAACCGATACCCCACCAGTTCCCTTTTTTAAAGTCAGCATACACGTGGTAGGCCCACTCGAGCCTACCAAAACGGCAAACGCTTACTTACTTACCTGCATGTGCACGTTTACCAAATATGCCATAGCGGCACCCATGCCAGACCAAACAGCTACTACTGTAGCTGATAACCTTATTAAAAAACTAATATGTACCTTTGGATCACCTAACGTCATAGTAAGTGACAGAGGCACTAACTTCACTTCAAAACTAATGAAACGTATTGCAGCCCGCTTCAAAATTAAGCATATTACTACAACGGCTTATCACCCGCAGGCTAATAATGTTGAACGAATTCATTTATCGTTAATTGAGTATCTAAAAATGTTCACTTCCAAGACCAAAAATTGGGACGAGTTTGTCGAACTTGCTATATTTAATTATAATACGAGTTGGCACAGCAGCCACCAGTTCTCACCATGGGAACTACTGTTCGCTCGTAAGCCACGCCTACCAAGCACGGAGCCCTTGCTAGAGCAAGATTTACTACCTACCTACGAAGGATACGTGGAAAACTTGGTTAAACAGTTACACAATATACATGAAATAGCTAGAGAAAAATTAATAACATATAAAGAAAAAACCAAAATACAATATGATAAAAAAACAAATCCTAGCAAATTCAAAGTCGGTCAATGGGTTTTTCTAAAAAGCGGCCCAAAGCCTCATAAACTCACAGGCAGTCACTTTGTCGGTCCCTACTTGGTCCTGGAAGTGGGAGAAAAAGAAAATATTAAAATAAAAATAAACGAAAAAGAAACTCGAACGGTCCACGCCAATCGTTTAAAAAAATCGTACATCGAAACAAGTAGTAATTGAAAAATTATGTTTCAGATGAAAGCAGTAATTCTCAGCATCTTTGTTCAACAATACTTCAAAATAGTCACTCCTTTCATAGCCTATGATTGTTTTCAACGTTTTACTAACTTCACTACCTTCTCTCTTGTAGATATTGCTGAATGCGACATTCCTAATCCGATAATCAATTCTACTGTAACTGAAATATCCCTCCTCCAACTTAATGATTTTGCAACTGTAAAAGTTCGTTATTGCAAAATAGAGGTCAAACGATCAGCCAAGACATGCGGCGCGCTCTCTCACGAATGGTCCCCCCTTTTTCCGAAATAGAATATATTAAGGAAGTAACACGAGAAGAATGCGTTAAAATGCACTCTTATCGAATAATGACGATCGGCGATAATCTAGTACAAAACTAAATGATAAATCAAACAACCGTTCACCCGATAGAATTGGCAGGATACATTGCCCCAGACGGCACTTGCACTAACGCAGGAAGTTTCTCCGACCCTTACGGCACATTCAGCAATGTACACGTTACCGGCTATGTTAAAGTATCACTCGAAGAAAGATTTAACTCTGTAACACTGGAAACAAATAAAATCAAACTCGAGTCCGGAACTTCTTGTCAATTTACTGAAGAACGTTGCATTGATAGCATATTCGGATACGCATTCTGGGACAGAACCGAGTCTCAGGCGTGCCAAGCCAGCAAGTATACTAATCTATATTCAGGACCCGTCACTAAAGTAACAGAGATCGGCAATGAACGAAGACCACTTTATATATTAGATTCTGAGGATATATCTTTTGCTTTCAAAGACCTCGGTAAAATGATACAATGCGGTTTCGAAATTATTAAAACAGAACACCCGAGATTATTCATATTAGAAAATCGGCTCGGTGAACATTTCATTTCTAACAAAGTTAAAAATATGCACGATCTAGATCTTTTCACTTATGTAAATTCAAAAATATTATTTGTTGAAAAACATATCAAAAATCATTTGCAAAAATTATACCATGACGTATTACTACAGCAATGCGAATTAGAAAGAAAAGTTATTACGAATGCGTTAAATATTGCCACTTTATCCCCGGACCTTTTAGCATATTATTTAATGAGAGAACCCGGATACATGGCCATGCTGGCGGGTGAAGTAGTACACATTATTAAATGCGTACCTGCAGAAGTCAAAGCTAGAAAGGCCGAAACATGCTACCAAGAATTACCGGTCACGCGCGGTGAGACTCCGATGTTTATCACACCTCGCACGCATATAATAAAACAATACGGAACCAAAACCGCTTTCGATACTAAAATGTCGGTAATGTATAAGTTCGGTGACTAATGGGTAAAGGTTATTCCGGATGTCACTAGTCAAGAAACCCCACACATAATCAAATCACAGGCCAAGCAAAATTGGGAATATAATAGCCCCATAAACACGGCAACAAGCGGAATTTACACATATAACGACATCGAACACCTTCGCACGTTTATAATGTTCCCTACAGAACGGAACGCGGTTCTTAATCAAATCGCGCTCGGTTTTGCTAGAAAATCCAATTTAGCCCCGGGAATATCCATAGCTAAACTACTCGACGAAGATACCCTGAATCGTATTGCGAATTCCACGTGGGAATCGCTATGGAGTCGATTCATTACATTCGGATCAGCGAGTACCGCTGTTTTGGCCATCCTTATGATCTTTAGAGCAATTAAGTTTGTCCTTGATACCATTATACACGGTTATGCCCTTCATTCCCTCTATGGCTTTAGCATACACCTACTTGGCGCATTCTGGAATTCTTTGACTAACTTGCTACTTTACCTAGCTAGGAAACCTGAAAGAGAAACAAACCCAGACAAATTAAACAAGGAAGCCCCGTCGGCAATACAGCCCGAAGAGCGAACTACTATCTTTAAAATCGAACGTGACGATCAATTGACCCAGAAACCAAGCTACACACAGAGACAGATATATCCAGTATTATCAGAACCAGAAATTCCACCGTTAATCAACAGAACATAAACGTCAACAATAGCTATATGTCTGAAAACATGGATCACAGAGCCAAAAGAAAACTACTAGAAGACTTAATAATAGAAAAAAAGAGATTAAGTATATCAACTCAAATGCAAGACGAAACCGCAATAGAATTCGGACACAGATTAAATACATATTTACAAAAATACATTGTCATGGGAAAGGCCGCGCAAATGTTTTTATTCGAAGTTACAGAAGACGAAACTCAGAGAGAAAAATTAGCTATTTCTCTTTTTATTAAAGGCCTCAAACATGAAATCAGACGTTACGTTTGCCCTTTTACTTTTTACAACACTAGAAGTCTAAATGCGCGCTTTGCACGCAGTTATATCGAAATGTTCCAATATAAATTGTTATATTAAAAAACTGTAATTACTTTTTATTAATGAAGTATTCATGAAAGTACAGAGTAAGTTATAAACAAATAAAGCCATATAAATAATATAATTGAAAATATTTGTTTTCAGAAATGTAATCAATCTTTGAATAATTCTGTGTAGACATAATTTTTTATTTTATTTGAATACATTTGCTGTCCAAAATAGATTTTTATAGAGTTCCAAGATCTAACACGCGAGAATGCTACGTACAATTGCCCGTGACTAAAAACATCCTTTCGTAAATCAATGACAACTTTTTTGAACGTTTACCCTTGAGTTTTGTTAATAGTCATAGCAAATGCTAATTTAACTGGAAACTGTCTTCTTTTAAAGGCGAATGGATATTCGTTTTCGCAGTATAAAGTGATTCTGTTCAAGAAAACTACTTGGCCCTTTTTATCACCTGTTAAAATTTTACATTTCAATAAATGATTCGATAAATCTATTAATTGCGCCCTTGTACCATTGCATAGACCTTCATTAATGCTGATATTTCTTATCAACATTACGATACAATTTTTTTTCAAATGTAATTTGTAAGGTGGTAAACATGGTGGGTTTAAAGCATTTAAATGTTCAGGCATAATAACATCATCGATTATTGTTTACAACAGTATCAATAGCAGTATATATATGCTGATCTACGTCACCTAATAAATCCGTTATTTCTCTATTAATATTATCTACGTCTTCATTTCTAGTAGATAAAATTGCACAATCACTCATTTCATCAAATTTTTTGTCTCGAATTAGTTGACCAAAAATATCTATTATGCTTACTGTTTCGGGGAGTATACAATGATCAGGAACATCTATGTAATCATCTTTATCATTCAGTGAACCATTTCCTACATTCAACAAAAAATTAGAAAAATCAATTTCATTTGATAAAACTCTCATATTAGTTGTTAATATATATTTTATGAAATGTTTCCATAATGGGCTGTATTTTATAGAAAGATTTAATGTTTCATTTCTTGTTCCTCTTACTTTGATTGGTAATAATTGTTTGAAGTCCCCACCTAGAATCATGATTTTTCCCCTAAACGGTAAATTATTTCCCATAACGTCTTGCAAAACTTTATTTGCAATATCTAATGCATATCTGGGAGCCATTGGAGCTTCATCCCAAATGAAAACTGCCGTTTTCCTAAGCTTTTTAGCTTCTTTAGATTGAGCTTTGATATTAGACGTTGAATCATTAAACATTGGAACTGGCAAACCAAAAATCTTATGCACTGTTTTTCCGTTAGGGAGTAGAGTTGCAGCAATACCCGTATAAGCCATTGTACATACTTCTATATTTTTAGATGTTAGTAAATCATACATTGTTTCATACACATACGTTTTCCCTGATCCTCCCGGTCCCTCCATGAAAATACAACGGGGTCCACTATAATTTTCATCATGTACAGCATTGCTAACTAAATCAACTATTTCTTTCTGCAAAGGGTTTAGGTTATTATACTTTACATTCCCCCTATCAGCCATTTCTATTAATAAGAAATGTTCTCGAACGTGAACTGAGTTTCGCAATAGTGGTGGCATTGAAGGAATATCTTCTAAACTTCTACCTTCATCGTTTAATATTCTATTAATATCTGCATACGCCATTTGATAAGCTAAATCTTTCTCCTGTGTTCTAGAAAAATCTTCTGATAATGCGTCTTGAAAAGTCATCCATAATTCTTCTGGTTTAGTCGGCTGACAATGTATTAAAATCCGAACGAACAAGCAACGAAGTCTTTGCGGCATCACCCACTGCACTCCTTCATTCATTGCTCTATTCCATTCATCATCGTTTTCAATTAAACCTAAAGCTAAGCAAGCTGCACTGAAAGTTGGATGTATGGCGTTATCAACTGTTCTTAAATGCTCAAAACTTTCCGCACCTTTAACATGCAATAGCAATAATCTTAAATGAAATCATTCTAATTGAGCTGGATTGACAGACTACATTCTACCGATTGTATTGAAATGTTTTTTTCTAGGCTGCCACTTTGTAACAGTGACATCATTTATTTTAGTTTTCTTATGTGTAAAATGAGATGGAATTTCACTGTAATAATACTGTCTTGCTGATTCATCATCTCTATTTAATTGAAAGAAATCTAATAGCAAACTACTGGTTTTTTGTAATATTTCTAAATTTAATTCATAAACTGATTCAGAAAAATATATATTTTGTTCATTTGGTAAATGTACAGGTAATCTCATAATGGAATGACTTTTATCTTGTAAAGTTTTGCTAAGCATGCGCCAACACGCTTCAACAGGTCCAACGTAGCGTGCATCAAGAAATTGACAGATTTCATTATGTATGACCACAGTTCCATTTTCAGAATCTTGAATTACAACTGTTGCTGCATCATGGCCTTTATAAATGTATTTATATAAGTATTTTACAGCGCAAATGCTTGATACAGCTTCAACGTTAATATGACAATCAAATAATTCTAATAATATTGCACAATAAGGTACCACCCAACGATTATCTACTTCGTGATTATTTGTTTTATTAACAGTAATGCCATCGTTTCGTCTTCGATAGTGTGGATAACCATTTTCATCCAAGGTTGTTTCGTTTTGAAATTGCTTTGGAAAATTTTTTGAGCATTTTCCATCCTTCATGCACCAGTCTCCACAGGGCCCATGTGTCATATGATTTATCACAAGGTCTTGCAGGTGTGGATTTTCGGATTTATTAGAAATTTCTGCGGATATAAATTTGTCTATAATTTCTGCAGTAGTCCATTTATGTCCTCTTGCTAGAGTTATTAGTAAATGCATGTGCGGTAAGCCTCTTTTTTGAAATTCAATAACGTATACATGAGCTGCTACTTCTCCAAATAATTTTTTCTTTATGACTAAGTCAAGCAAACGTTTTTTTTTTCAAATTAAATACACGTGCAACAAGATCAGGCCTGTCACATGCTTGTTGACCAGGTAAAAGGATTTCTTGTATTTCAACCCAATTGGGATTACACGTCATAGTTAGAAAAATATCAGGTTTTCCTTTTTCATTTACTAAGGCCATTGCGTCTTGATAACATTGTTGCATATATCGTGGTGATCCTATGAAAGTCGATGGAAGAATGACAGATTTACCAACTTGACCATTTACAGTATCAGCAGAGTTTTGCATGTAATCACTGACACCTTTATATGTATCTGCTCGCAATTCTTTTTGGTGATCTTTACAGTACTGAATTCGGTCTTTTTCAGTTTTTACATAACTATCAACAGATCATTGTTGAAATAATCGTCGACCCAAAATAAATGGGTTAAATTCATTGACCCTTATTGCCATTCTATATTTGTGATATGCCATACGAGTTACACGTCTGTTGCTATTATCTTTTTGTTGTAAATTTCTAAACCATCCTGATGAACCATACGGATAAAATAATGGATATATCCACAGCTCAACATTGGGATCCATCGTACTTACGCATTGTAATGATTTCGTATTTTTATTTCTAATAGTTACATATAATTCTGGGATTTCGCCATCAGCTGTCGTAGCAAATATCGCAGCTACTTCATTAACTCTCTGAAAATTATACCTTCCCTTATCTTGCCCTGGTTTCAAAGAAAAAAGTAATTGTAATTCTGGTTGAGGCTGGTTAGTTTCGTTAAATAATGCTTGCTGATATTCAATTTCTTGTCTTATCATATGATAAGATTGCGCGAAAGCATTATTTTCTCGAATTATTGTATCTAAAGTAAAGTTAAGATCTTGATTCAAATTTGAAAATGTGTTCATTCGATAAATTGACAGCCTCCTCTTGATCAACAATGAAAAGCTGACCATAAGATGGATTTTCATCATCACACGGATACAATGATGTATTGATTTGATAATAAACTTGTCCTTGAACTTTAAAACAATATGGACCTGGTCGACGTGATTGAAAATTAACCAAGTTAGCATTAAAAGACGCAAAAGATAATGAATTATTATATGCTCTGATATGTTCAAAAAATAGAACAGATTTGTGGTGTTCTCCTTTTAGTAATAACTGAAGTTCTTCAGGAAATTCTAATAATGGATCTAAAGAAACTGATCCATGACCACAACAGTCATTGAACGACAATCCTTTACCCTTTACTTTCTCATCTTTGAAATGTAATGCATGACAATGTTTACACGGAATTTCTAATTTTCCTAGGTAATCTGGTATAGTATTATTCTGTACATTTGTTTGTGTCGAACTATGCGTAGTCCTGTTGCTTTCATGGAAAAGCTGTCGAGCTTGTTGCCGTCTGAATTTCTGACGTTCTGCTCTTTCTCGTCGACGATTCAACTGAAAAACCTCTTCTTCCTCTTGTGAACGATTTTTTTTTCTAGGCATAATATTTATATATGATTGTTCAATATATCATTATCAAAAAAAAGTAGATAATTTGTCAAGTAATATATTGTAGTATATTCGATACGTTCCAATTTGTTGGTTACTAAGTGATTGTTTGGTTGCTAAGTAATCTGTATTATTATTAGTTAGTTAGTTGTGTTCATGAGCTGATATTATATACACACGCTATTTTCAACGATTCTAATACAAGTTTTAGTTTCTTTTACATATCGTTGTATTTTAATTCATTAATTAGTAGTGGTTATAACATTTTGGGGGCTCAGCCGGGATCCGACATTTGTTTCTTCTATTAAGTTTGAATCTCAACTATGTCTACACACCGGACACCACCGAGGACAAGAGCGCAGGCAGCGGCAAGCGCTAATACAATTACGACGAATATTGCTGATGCCGCTTCGGTTGCTGCTGCAATAGCTGCTGCCTCTGATATCGCCACTAATACATAAGGACATTTCGAACAACAATCGGATGTCACAGACATAACCCAACATACAGGTACTAATTTATTTTTTCCGAATTTAAGTGGTCCTTCAGATACTCCTGCACTGCACCCTGTACTTCCTGCTGTTGCATCGACCGCTAATTCGGCTCTGCAAGAGGCATTGCTGTCGAGTCGCGAGCAATGTCCGATGATCTTTTTCAAGAAGTGACAACATTGCGCGCTCAGCTGGATGCTGAAAAAGCTCAACGCTGTGAACTTGAAAAGGCGCTACAGCTACAGGCCAGCCAAGAGCAGAGTCTCGTAACAGAGCTGCGCGCGCGTAATACAGACTTCTCTGAGCTTCGTCGAGAGTTCAACCGACTTCGTCAGGAAGTCAACCAGCTAAGTCGCTATCCTTCTAACCTCACAAACACACGTATTTTGTCACATGCTCAACCCAACCTCGCGCAAGCATATCCAGCAACGAATACACCGATTCCACTCACAGATCTAGGGATAGGTTACACTCTAAAAGTCGATACATACGATGGTTCAGCACCACTTTGCGAATTTTTGTGTCAGTTTGAGCTTATTTCAAAAGCTAATCGTTGGACAGATGATAAAAAGATGGTAGTTTTAGGTTCGTGCTTACGTGGTGATGCTCGATCTATTCTTAGAAGTTATCCGACATCTGAAACAATAACTTTTCATTCACTGATACAGAAATTAGAAGAAAGATTCGGGGACAAACATTTAGAATCTATTAGTTATTCACTCTTTCACACCAGATGTCAAAAACTAGGAGAAGATTTTCCGACTTTGGCTGCTGATATTGAAAGATTAGCTACTTTAGCTTATTCGGAATGTTCTAGTGAAGTTCAGGATGAAATAGCTTGTTCTCAATTCATCACTGGTATTTTTAATAAAGGGATTAAAGAAATACTTCAGTTAGAAAAAATTACGTCATTAAAGATTGCCTTATCTCGAGCACAAGAAATTAAAACTATCAGGGAACAGAATAGGACTTCATTTTCACAAAAGAATGAGATTAAAACATCTCAAACTTCACCGCAAAATATATCAGACAAACAAACTGACTTCAAAGCTCCGAATGGAAAAGCTAAGGATTTCAACGTTAAGGATTGGCTTAAAAACGTTGAATGTTTTGCTTGTAAACAAAAAGGCCACGTTCGTACACACTGCCCGAACTTTCAACAGGAAAACTGAATATTGTTAGACTTTCGGGAGCGAGTTTAACTACTGATGTAAGAGCTCCTCAATTTACTCCTTTTCCTCGGGTATGTAGAGTTCTTAGAAATTTTAAAACTTTTGAATTCGAAGGCACGGTAGATAATAAGACTTGCATACTCAAAATTGATTCAGGTTCAGATGTTTCTATTTTGAATTCAAAATTTGTTGACGAAAATTGCCTTTGCATTCCTCTCATTCAGGATTCTTTGAAATACCCTACAGGTGAAAGTGTTCCTATTAAATTTAAGACTATTGTCCAGATTTGTTTAGGTAAATATTCTGTTCGTATGATAGTTTTTGTTGCCGATATAATCGATGATTGTATACTTGGCTGCGATTTTTTGAATAACTCCGGAATTGCAGATTCTATTAATGACATTTTTTCTGATGTTCCAAACTCTGTTAGGACTAACGTTAACCAAAAAATTTGTTCTAGAATTATACAATTAAGTACTGAATTTCCTGCTCAACTACAAGATTTACTTGAGAAAAATTCAAAAGAGTTGAATTTTTCTCAAAAGAATAAATTTTCACAACTTCTTACTAATTTTCAAGATATTTTTGAAGATAACGATGTAAAAGGTAAATGTAACCTTATTGAGCATACAATTCAATTAACAGATTCAGTTCCTATTAAACAATCGGTTCGTCCGATACCATTTCATCTGAAAGCTGAAGTCAATAAAATGATTTCAGACATGCGAGACCAAGGTGTTATTGAAGAATCTTCCAGTTCTTGGTGTTCTCCGATAGTGTTAAAAAAGAAAAAAGATGGTGCATGGAGATTTTGCGTTGATTTTCGTAAATTAAATTCAAAAACAGTTAAAGATTCTTATCCTTTACCTAGAATAGATCACACTCTAGACAAACTGGCTGGAAATTCTTGGTTTTCCACTTTAGACTTAAAAAGCGGTTATTGGCAGGTAAAAATCCGTGAAGAAGATAGAGAAAAAACTGCTTTTACAATTGGTAACGGTTTATGGCAATTTATTATTATGGCTTTCGGGTTGTGCAATGCTCCCGCTACTTTCGAGCGACTAATGGAGAAAATTCTTCGAGATATTCTTGATGATATTTGCTTAATCTATCTAGATGATGTCATGGTTATGGCTAAATCATTTGATGACATGATAGACAACCTTAGGACTGTTTTTTCAAGGATTCGGCAAGCAAATTTGAGATTAAATAAAAAGAAATGTAATTTTTTCCAACGTGAAGTAGAATATCTTGGTCATATAGTGTCCGAATTCGGCAAGAAAACAGATCCTAAGAAAATTGAAACGATAACTCAATGGCCGATTCCGGTAAATAAAGATCAAATTAAAAGTTTTACTGGATTCTGTTCTTATTATAGGCGTTTCATTAAAGGTTTCTCTTCTATAGCTAAACCTTTGTACAATTTGGCAGATCGAAAAGATATTTTTGTTTGGACGGATGAATGTCAAACTGCATTTTTAAATCTGAAAAAGGCTCTGTCTTCGCCACCTATCTTAGCTTTTCCTCGGTTAAATTCACCTTTTCTGTTGGATACTGATGCTTCTAATCATGGTTTAGGTTCTGTCCTTTCTCAAAATCAGGATAATAGAGAAGTCGTTATAGGTTATTATAGTCGCGTCTTGTCTAAGGCAGAAAGAAATTATTGTGTAACTCGTCGCGAATTACTAGCAGTTATAGATTCTGTAAAAAACTTTCATCATTATTTATGCGGTCGACCTTTCTTCATCAGAACTGATCATTCTGCTTTAACATGGCTACTTTCGTTTAAGGACTTAGATGGTCAATTAGCAAGATGGATAGGAAAACTTGATCAATATGACTTTCAAGTTTTACATCGTAAAGGTATTTCGCATGGTAATGCAGATGGACTCTCGAGAAGACCCTGTAACAGTTCATCTTGTACTTATTGTTCGAAATTAGAATTTAAATTCTTAAATAACAGTTGTACTGTAGGTCGTATTTGTTTTGAAGAGTCTTCATTAACTGATTGGCGAAAACGTCAACATCAGGACAATGTCATTAAGACCATTTTAAATTGTAAAAAGAATAACATCAAACTTTTATGGCAAGATGTTTCTTCGGAGGATGAATCTATAAAATTATACTTGTCTCAATGGGATTCGTTGTTAGTTGTAGATGATATCTTATATAAAGAATGGATTAGCCCAAATTTGAAGTTCAAAATTCTTCAATTGATTGTACCGAAAGACTTTACCAATATCGTTTTGAAAGAAGCTCATGATTCTCCGTCAGGAGGTCATTTTGGTGTAAATAAAACCTTAGATAAGATTCGTAAAAGATTTTATTGGGTTTCTTATAAAAGAGATGTTGAAAATTGGTGTAAGTCTTGTTCCACTTGTGTTGCTAGAAAAGGTCCATCTGATAAAGGTCATAATCAGATGAAGATTTATAATGTAAGATTACCATTTGAAAGACTTCAAATGGATATTTTAGGCCGTTTTCCAATTTCTTCTTTAGGAAATAAGTATCTGTTAGTTATAACTGATTGTTTTACGAAATGGGTAGAAGCTTTTCATCTTCCTAATATGCGAACAAAAACTATTGCTGAAGTGCTTGTTCGAGAAATTGTATGTCGATATGGAGTTCCTTTAGAAATCCATACTGATCAAGGCACTAATTTTGATGCTATTTTAATAAAAGAGTTATCTGATCTGTTAGGTATTAAGAAAACACGAACAACACCCCTACACCCACAATCAAATGGACAAGTAGAAAGACAGAACAAAACAATTTTAGACTATTTATCTAAATACATCGCAGACAATCAAAAAGATTGGGATCGGTGGGTTGCCTTATATCTTTTGGCTTACAGATCCTCGACTCATGCTACCACCGGCGTTACACCAGCTGAAATGTACACTGGTGCCGATCTACGACTTCCGTTGGATTTATTACGAGGATCACCTCCCAACCGAGAAGAATTGTTAACTACTGATTACGTACAACAGTTAAAATCAACACTCAACACTATACACAATTCGGCACGACAAAACATCGCTATTGCTTCTCAAAGAACAAAGAAAACTTATGATAAGACAGCTAGACATGTTCATTTTCCAGTAAACCAAAAAGTATGGTTCTTTAACCCTCGCAAAGTCAAAAGAAAAACACCAAAACTTCAGAGTACTTGGGTAGGACCTTACAGAATCGTCAAAAAGATTAACGACGTGGTTTTCTGCATCCAGCAATCACCAAAACACAAAAAGAAGATTGTACATATTGATAGGTTAGCTACATACCACGATAGGTAACACACTTACCTTTCTTACGGTTATTTTGAGCTGTGGTTTTTCCCGTGAGATATAAGACGAATGTCAAGGTAATATACAAGGTGAGGTCCACAGCATGATAATTCCCCACCCTTGTAAAAATCCAACACGTTATACACTACCACATTACACAACAGACTCAAGGTTTAAGATTGAAGATTCAAGGTTTAAGATTGAAGATTCAAGGTTTAAGATTGAAGCTTTTCAAGACACGGGCTTCTGTTCTTTAACGGAAGAATAAACTCGCTTGACAAAGTTGACATCTTGGTTCAAGGTTTATGATTCAAGGTTCAAGGTTCAAGAGTCAAGATTTCTGAGTATTCTGTTTTATTTAGATTGTCGGGGCGACAATTTGAATGAAGGAGGAGCAATGTAATATATTCGATACGTTCCAATTTGTTGGTTACTAAGTGATTGTTTGGTTGCTAAGTAATCTGTATTATTATTAGTTAGTTAGTTGTGTTCATGAGCTGATATTATATACACACGCTATTTTCAACGATTCTAATACAAGTTTTAGTT